CATCCAATCATTGAGTGTTCAATAATTTCCCGCCAAAAATCATCCAATCATTGAGTGTTCAATAATTTCCCGCCAAAAATCATCCAATCATTGAGTGTTCAATAATATAATTTCCCGCCAAAAATCATCCAATCATTGAGCGTTCAATAACTTCCCGCCAAAAATAATCTAATCATTACATCTTCAGTAGCATCAAGTAAAATTTTGTTTTGTTTATTTCTAGATATGAACAGTATGGAGATGTCAGGTCTAATATTTGAATCACCTAAAAAGTGGCTTAAAAAACTCGGTATCCACATTGGAGGCTCAAAGCGATCACACATCAACACCCAAAACGATAAGAAGACACATAAACAAGTTACAAAAAAACATTCGTAAAGAATGGAACTGCCAGAGCAAAGATATGAACTGAACTCTAAATACTCTACTGTTACTATAAAGTTTTATAGTGATTGGTATTTCAACGCGGATGAGCTCAGATGCTTCATCTCAGTAAAGAGATTTTTATTTGTATTAAACAATCATAGGGGGGAACTGTACAACTAGTGTATAAGGTGTCTTGAACAGAGGAAGGATACAGTTGAAGCGGAAAAAATAACAAGTATCCTCTTATTTGAACTCACTTTCCATCATCACTAGGAAAACACTATTTCGTTTTCTAAAAGTCAGAGGATTTTTTAGTGAGCAATGTCCTTATACACTGAGTGACCTATCGCATGTCAGGGGATCAAATACAATGAAAATATTAACAGTGCCTGTCAKTGGGCTGGTTTTAAGGTGATAGAGTCACAGCTTAGACTTGATTTACTCTCAACCATGTAATTCTTGTCGTCAAAATAGGGACGTCTTCATCAGTCAAATCATGTTTTTTATGAAGTTTCGGCCTGCATTACTATACCACGCTTCAAGCTGAGACTTAAGACTCTCCTTGTGATAATAGCTACCTACTGACGGCCGTGTGGGTGTGAGTGTGGTTATTTTATGTAAAAATGTMTGTAACCTTACATGAAGATCTCTTTGTTGTCATAGGATAATTTATTAAGGATAACACTTCCATATCGCTCACGTTAATTATATTAATGTACATAACATCAAAATACAAGGATATTTTTGACAAGATTATTGTGGTTGTTATCCCATAATTTCTTAGTTTATATGCAACTTGTTCTTACATGGCTTGACTATGTACTCGCCATTCAATATACAAATTGAACAACTAGTCCTACAAGATCTTATATATTCGCCCTTAATATGTATATGACGTCATACAGCCTACAAATTTGAACAACTAGTCCTATGAGATATTATGGATACGTATTCGTACTATGCATGTGACGTCATGTTATCT